GGGGGTGGGTGGGGGTGGTGAGGGATGAGTGGGGCTGTGAGGGGTGGGGGGGTAGGGATGCGGGGGTGGTGAGGGATGGGTGGGGGCGCGGGGATAGGTGAAGAAATGAAATTGAAGCTGTTGAACATAGCGTTGAGCCCAGAAGGTTGTAAAATGCCTAATTGGAGAGTGAGGTACTGTTCCTCCAGCTGATGTTGGCCCTCACTGGAACACTGCACCAGACCTAGAACAGGAATGTGAGTGAGAGAGAAAGATGGTGCATTAGAAAGGCAAGTGATGAGGAAGCCAGGGACACGCTCACAGACTGAGCAGATGTGTTCTGTATAGTGGCCACCCAGTCTGTGTTTGGTCTCCCAGAATCAAGGAGATTAGACAGAGAGCAGCAGAAATTACAGACTGAAAGAAGTCTGTGTAAATCACTGTTTCACTGAGAATGATTGTTTGGTGCCTTGGGCACTGAGGAGAAAGACAGTAAAAGGATAAATGTTATAGTTCCTTCAGTTGTAAGGGAAGGTGCCATCAGAGGGGGGTAAGGTGTTGGACTGGTAGAGTAGTGAGTCAGTGGTGCTGATGGGGGAAGGAGAAGGTAATACACCCCTGTCCCTCAACACCCTCCCCTCCACCTCAACTCCCTCCCCTCCCAGACCCTCAGTGATGTCCCAGACCAGGGATCAGCTCAAGCATTTTTATCATCATCATAGTATCCCTAAAGTGCAGAGGCAGGCCATTCAGTCCATCTGGTCCACACTGACCCTCTGAAGAGCATCCCACCCAGACACACCCTGCCTACTCTATCCCTGTAATTCCCATGGCTAACTCACCTAACCTACACAGCCTTGAAAACACTATGGGTAACTTAGCATGGCCAATCCACTCTGACCTGCACACATTTGGGCTGTGGGAGGAAACCCACGCAGACGTGGGGTGAATGTGCAAACTCCACACAGATAGTAACCCGAGGGTGGGATTGAACCCGGGTCCCTGGTGCTGTGAGGCAGCAGTGCTAATCACTGGGTCACTGTACTGCTTGCAGTAATGGAGGTGGGGTCACAAGGATGATGTTGGTTGTGGGATTGGGGTCTAACTGCAAGGATGAGAGCGGATGGTGTAAGGTCTGGGAGAGGGCCAGAGTCTGGGTTTTATTACTAATCAATGAGGGTGGCACTGAGTTGTGATCCAGCTGGGTGCTCTGTAACAGCTCAGTGAAACTGCACCCCCCTTCCCACAATCCACCCCCCCCCCCCCCCCCCCCCCCTCCCCCCCCACCCCTCAGGGTCTCTGTCCGTGTGGAACAGATCCTGGAGATGAGGAATGTGCCAGCCAATGACAGGAGTCACATTAACGCTGTTGTGTGCCAGGGTCCATGCAATGGAGGAGCAGCTGAGAGATCAGGAGAGCCGAGCAGAGCAACTGTTCCAGGAGGAGCTGAGGAAACACCAGGAGCTGCTCAGTAAACTGGAGAGAGAGAAGAACGCTGAGATCGAGATGCTGACAAACAGGTAATGGCAGAGACGGTGTGGGCTCACTCTCCAAACCCCATTACAAAATCTCCATCAGCTCTTCCACTGAAAGGGTTACTCTCTCTCTCTCCTTCTCCCTCCCTCCCTGTCACTCTCTCTCTCTCTGTCTCTCTCTCTCCCCCCCTCTGTCTCCTCTATCTCCCTCTCTCTCCCTCCCTCCCTATCACTCTCCCTCTCTCTGTCTCTCTCTCTCCCCCTCTATCTCCCGTATCTCTCTGTCTCCCTGTCTCTCTCTCTGTCCCTCTCCCCGTCTCTCTCTCTCTCTCTGTGTCTGCCTCTCACTCTCTCTGTCTGTCTCTCTCGGCCTTTCTCCCCTCTATCTCGTTCTCCATCCCTCTCTCTCTGTCCCTCTCCCCTTCTCTCTCTCTCTCTCACTCTCTCTCTCTGACTCTCTCTCCCCTCATCATCCTCTCCCTCCCTCGCTCTCTGTCTCCCTGTCTTTCTCTCTGTCCCTCTCCCCTTCTCCCTCTCTCCCTCTCTCTGTCTCTCTCTCTCTCTCTCCCCCTCTATCTCCCCCGCTGGCTGTGAACTGTGATATTATTATCGGATGTTTTCCTTCACAGGACTCAGCAGCTGGAGGAGGAATCCAACCAGCTGAAAACCACAGCCACTCGCTTAAAGAGTCAGACAGAGAAACTGGATGAGGTGAGAGACAGAAGCTGAAGGCCAGGCAGGGGAAGGGAGGTACGGAGAGACGGGAGGGTGGGGGAAGTGATGGAGTGTGGGATATGGAGGGATGTTCACAGTGGGATCAGGTGGAGATGGGAGGGGATTTGATCTGGTGCTGGGGGTGAGATGAAGTTTCCTTGTGTTTACAGATGGTGAGTGGGCCATTCTGCCCATTGAACCTATCCTGGCTGTTAACATGCTGATGTGACAAGTTTACTGCCTATCCAGTTCAGCTGCTATACAAACTGTATCAAATTTGTCAATGATTTATTTAATCATTTCATGGTGACTGCATCGCTGTTTATTTCTATTCTTCAAAACAAAAGCGATTTTTATCAGGTTCCTTCTATAAGCTCAATGATAACCCATTTATTGTAAACACTGATTAACAACAAAACTATCTCCCAGGGTTAAACATCTTTAATGTCAAATAAACACTCACACACAAAAGGACAAAATACAAACAAGGCAAAGATGAAAAGGTTACATTACAGAGAAAGAAAAAGAGGTAAATAAATAAATGCCCTTTTGCCTGGGGTCCAAACTCAAAGGTAAAACATAACAACTTCTCCCAGAGTTTCCTGTTGATGAGATCAAAATGCTGTTCATTGGAGAGTGAAAGAAAACTTTAGACCAAACCTCAGTTCAGATGGAAGGTCAGTTAGACTCAGGCCTTGGAATTGAAGTAACAACGTTCAAGGTTTAGGACTTAGTCAGAAACACGGATACCTGGAACTTTTTCTGGTTCTTACAAATCCTTCACTGAGAGGGAGAGATCTGTGCAACTTATTCTAATCTACAGTTTCCTCCTGCTTTTTCAGGAGAGAGAGAATTGCCCAGTTTTGAGGTCTCTTCCTTCTGAAGATAGATCCAGCATCCTGGGAAAACAGGAGCCAACTCTCAGAGTGTTGCTAGGCAGCCATCAGTACATAGACCACCCCCCTGCCCCCAACCCCCCAACCCCCACCTAGAACATAGAACAGTACAGCACAGGAACAGGCCTTTCGGCCCACCATGTCTGTGCTGGCCATGATGCCATTCTAAACCAATCCCATCTCCTGCACATGGTCCAGACCCCGCTTTATTCCCTCCCTGTTCATGTGTCTTTCTAACTGCCTCTTAAACATTGCTATCACATCTGCTTCGACCACCTCCCCTGGAAGCATGTTCCAGGTACCTACTACCATCTGTGTAAAAACTTTCCTCACACATCTCCTTTAAACTTTCCCACTCTCACCGTAAACCTACTCCCACAATATTGGACATTCCCACTCTGGGAAAAAGCCTCTGACTGTCCACCCTATCCATGCCTCTCATCATTTTAAAAATACTTCTACCAGGTTGCTCCTCAGCCTCCAACGTTCTAGCGAAAACAATGTAAATTTGTCCAACCTCTCCTTATAGCTGATTCCCTCCAATCCAGGCAACATCCTGGTAAACATGTTTTGTACCCTCTCCAAAGCCCCACATGGGCAACATTGGCTATTCTCCAGACACTGGGACCTCGCCTTTGGCTAAGGAGAATACAAAGATTTCCAGTAATCTCCTCCCTTGCCTCCTTCAGTATCCCGTGTTAGATCCCATCTAAGGCCCTGTGGGCTTTACTATCTTAATGTTATTAAAGACACCCAACACCACCTGCTTGTTAATATCGATATGCCTTAGAGCATGAACAAACCCTTCTCTAAACTTACCATCATCCATGTCCTTCTCCTTGGTGAATACCCATGTGATATATTCATTAAATACCTCACCCACTTCCTCGGGCTCCACACATAAATTCTGTCCTTAGTCCTTGAGGGGATGTACCTTTTTCCTCGTTACCCTCTTGCTCCTAACATATGTCTAAAATGGCTTGGGTTTCTCCTCAGTCCTACCCGCCAAGGACATTTCATGACCCTTTCCAGTCCTCCTAATGTCTTTTCAAAGTTCTTTTCTGCTCTCTCTACACTCCTCAAGTGCCTTGTTTGATTTCTGTTTCCAAAACCTCTTCCAAACTAAGCTTCTCTGTCAACTAAAACTGTAAACCTCACCATTTATCTCTCTTAAAAGCTTTGCTCATCTTCTTTCTAAAGTAAAATGACCTTTTGTTAATTACCAGGGATCACATACCACTGAACCAATCGAGTAACGCCATGTCCTTTTAAAACCTTGGCCAACCCTTTGCAATTTAGACTGTCCAGGCAGTTCAATATTCCAGCTCTTCCTGGTCCGTTTGTTTTCCCTGTAACAGTATGACTGATTCACCTTTCGGTTAATCTGGGAAGCAGGGAAGTGGGATGGGTGGGTGGGGTGTAGGGGGTGTTTTGTCCTGAGTTTATTCATAATCCTCTGAGCAGCATTTGTGCAGATTCACATCTGCATCCTCCCTGAGCTTTCTCAGTCTCACACTGAGCTACTCATCATTGCTCTCTGAACATGGTGTCGGTCGCACTGGGCAAATCCCTGCTCAGTTCCCAGCATTTCTCCAGCTGCCTCTGGGAATGTTCCTGTAGATTCTGCTAGCTCTGCCATTACAGGCAGCATGTTCTAGATCACAGCAGCTCACAGCGGAAGTGAATTATTGTGCCCAGCTCCAATCCTGGAACTTCAGTGAAAACCTGCCCCACCCCGCCGCCCAGTATTCAACCTCACTGCTACTGGTGGGAGTGGGGGTGGGGGTTAGCTCCGAGTCTCAAACGCTGCTCCTTCATCGCTCTGTGTTTCAGGAACATCAGCGAATCACATACAAACTGGAGGACACCAGCCTGCGGCTGAAGGATGAGATGGACCTTTACAAAAAGCTGGTGGAGAAGATGAGGAGGAACCGGCAGGAGTTTCAGAAAGAGCGGGAGGTGATGCAGGAGGTGGGTGCCCGCAGGGGAACAGAGACCGGCCCGGCCTGTCGGGGGTTGGGGGGGGTGGTGGTGTGGGTGTGGTGTAGACAGACTGCACCCAGACCCTGGGGCAGGATAGAGTGCACTTAGACCCTGGGGGTGGCTTGTTGGGGTGGGGGGGTTTTGTTGGGGTG